TTTAAAGATAAATTATGCCTTTTGGAATGATATAAATTAAAGTTAATATATGGAACGAAACGTTTATATTATTAAAAGACACTTAAAATCCAAAATAGCAGCATTGTCAAATTGATGTTTTTTTTTACTTATTATTAATTTATAAAAATCAAATTATTTTATATATTATAATTTTATTTTATAAAATTGATTAGGTAGTAAAATACTACTTGTTATAATCAGCATATTAAAATAATTAAATATATAGTTTGTCCTCTCAATAGATAAATTTTATTGGAAAAAAATAGGTATATATTTTTTTATCCATTTTAAATTGTTATACAATAGTGTGGTCAGTAATACCTAGTGTTTGGGCAACTACTTTAGAACCGTTTTTGGGCTAATTTATATCCTACTTTTATTGGAGTGGGTATAGTACTCTGGACTAGTAAGACGAAAAGGAATGAAATGAAGTATGAACAGCAAATTTTTTCCATGACTGTACAATGGTGGTTCGTACTTTAAGTACAAAAAGTACAATCATGTAGGGTTAACCTTATCGCTAACTACAATTATTTAAATAAGGTGGAACTCCATATAAATTGAATTTAAAAAACAATGTTGAACAATTCATAGTAACAAATGATACCTTACCTTAAATCTTGATGCACCCAATTACACAAATCACTATGTCACAATGTCAACAATCGCACACGCACTTCACAGTTCACGTTTGTCGGGAAAATGACTTCACAATGAAAACAAAAGATTCAAAATGTCCAACACTAACGTTTTGTTGACAAGGCGACGATCAGCGAGCGTTGTCACGTGATTAACCGTATTTCACTAGTCTAACCGTGGTTATCGCTGTCAGCTTATTATCATAGTATCGCCCAACAATTATCGAATCAACTTTCGCGCCCAAGCCAGTCATACTCGTTTTTATCACGGTTAGAGTTCTACATAACACACAATACCTGTGAATCTATGATGATGACAAAAACGTTCAGACATTATTATTTAAATATAACCTTAATTATATCTATTTAATATAATAACAAGTAATAGTAAACATATCAAATTGATTACATCTATATACAGTAACTTTTAAATCATAATTATAAATTTAAAAAAAATAGGTACATTCTTTTGGTACGGTGTAAAAATACTTGGAAAAACAAAAATCTTATTGGAATAGGAAAAACTACGTTTTTCTAAGCCCATAAACCCATAATTATAAAATTATATTATAATTAATTTTATAAATGAAATATGCGAATTATGACTAAAATGTTTAATTCGCCAGGGCCGGCGAAAGCTATAGGTGACGTTAGCGATCGCCCATGGCGCAATTTAAAGAGGGGCGCTAGATTGCCTAAAAAAGATACTTTTTTGTAAATACGCCTCAACTTGAATGATTATTGGCGTTATCGAAAATTGTTTTTTTTATTTGAGTACATCATTTTTCTATTCCCGCCCGCCAAACCTAACATCCAGTCAAAAGACTAAAAATAAATGTTTCCTATGAAATTGTTATCGACGTTGTTGTATAATGGAATCTTACTTTTAACAATAAATACGATGGTATATATATATATATATATATATATATATATACATGCCGTAAATTAATTTTAAATTGGTAAATAATCACCAAAATTAGTTCTGCAGTTTATTTATAACATGAAATTCAGTGCTTGACTTGGGGGGGGGGCGCAGGGGGACTGAGTACCTCAACTAATTTTTTGGATATTCTAGCGTACCCCTATTTCTTTTTTAAATGGGAACGCATGGGACGGGTTGTTATTTAGTCTTACCTATATTTATAAAGTTGCTCAACTCAAAATGTTTGTGTTAAATATATAAATCTTACAAAATATTCTAAAATTTACAAAATGTATTGATACCGGGTGATTACAAAAGAATAAGTCGGTTTCAAATATCTGTATTTTCTAAACGGTACAAGCTACAGAGCTGCGGACCTCTTAAAATTACCGCTATAACCTCGAGTTTTTTTTAAAAAATCATAAATGTTCAATGTGTCCTCCTTGAGGACAATGAGGACTTACCCGAACAATGTCAAGTCGGTATGCAAATTCCTCACACACTCTGTGGAGCATGTCAGTAGTTGTGTGTGGATTTTGTTCACCCCAAATTATCCTAGCGGTAACCTAATCTAACATGAGGTTACAGCGGCCATTTTAAGAGGTCTTGCAGCTCTGTAGCTTGTACCGTTTAGAAAATACAGATATTTATAACCGACTTATTCTTTTGTAATCACTCTGTACAACTGTATTTATATTTTGAATTTTACATTTAATCAATGATACCGTGTAATTTGTTTTTAATGAAGATTAAAGATTTTTAAAAATTAAAATGATTAACTTATATAAAAAAAAGTTTGTAACCGTTTGTAATAAGACAAGTTATACTTTGATAATTTTTTTATTATTTTGTTTTGTTTAATGGTTTTTATTAATGTTTCTGAGGGCATCGTTAAAGGGGGTGTGGGGGTTGAAGCCCCCCGCGGTAATGTAAGGAATATTAAAATGCTAGGGACGCTACTTTTTTAAAAGTATCTAGAGTGCCTCTACTACTTTTTTCTCAAGTCAAGCACTGATGAGATTAGTTTATTTGTTTACTTATGTGAAAGGTACAGGGAAAAAACCAGCAGTCACTTTTTAAAAATGACAAATTTGTAAATTGCAAACGAACATTTAAAATGTTTTAAAAGTTTTAAGTATTTTTTTAATATTTTAAAACATTTTTTAGCATTACATAATCATGTTTTTCTTAGATTAAAAAAAAGTGACTGCTGGTTTTTCCCTGTACGGTGTACCCTTCATGTATTGATATCTCTAAAAATATTATTGACAAACCCTGTCACGGATAAAGGGAACGAAGTTTTTCCAAAAAAAGTTGATAAAAACATTTGTAATCCGCTATGGCATATGATAGGCAAATAGGCTATCATATTAGCATTAGCATAATATAGTCCATAAAATATGATCTGACCCAAAGAGTGAATATTACGAAGAAGCAATAAAACAATTTTTCTGAATTTAAAGCTAGAAAAGTGAAGTTTTAACTTTATAGTATTTATAATCAATGTAACAAAATTACATGTAATATTTTACTAGTATGTACCATTTGAATTTAAATTATATAATATGTACATCAAAAAATTAATTTTCACTTTTTTATAGTAATAAAATTGTATTTACTGGTCGTACTTAAAATATTGTAAATTATAAATTGATAAATAATTGTACTTTAAGTAACACAGTTTCAGAAAAAATATTTGTCAAAGGGGGCGTCGAGTAGTTGTTTCGCGTCAGTATGAGTAGCTCCGGCCCTGTTAATTCCTACATTATATAATTTCATTTATCAAGTAATATTTAAAATACGCAAAAAAAACGTATTAAGATATATATTTTTTAAACACTATTGGTCAAATGTTATTTAATTGTTATTTATTCCTTATACAAAAAATATTAAACAGTTATAATTAAATAATGTTTTAAAAACATATATTGAGTTATATTATTAAAATATAAATGTATAAATATATATTTAATATTATTAAACCATAAATTTAAAATTATTATTTAATACATATTATATTTACGCAATTATAATATTTTTTAAATAACATTTAATTAGAAGTGTAATAATAATAAAATAATAATATTATGATTACGGAAATGCTATCTGGGTATTTATACCAATGAATTGAATTATTTATTTTATACAGTTCATTAAACCTAACCTTGTAAAAGGTTTTTATCAGACAACTTCTGTGGTACAGATATATGCATAATACACACAATAAAACGTTTTAAAATACCAATTGATTATACAAAATGTGGTTTTCCTGTCTTACTTCTCTACATTTTATTCGTAAATGAAGACACGATTGAAATAATTAAATTGTAACAAAATTTTAACGTATATCGTTATGTCGAAAACGTAGTTTGTAGATATCATTGGTAAAAGAGAATTATAATACCTATCCATGGTTGCTGAAAGGAAAGCAGTTGCCGGCAAAAACAAAAAACGGTTATTTGTTTCACTTTCGTAGAAATCATTTTCCAACGCATCTACATTACGGATTTCAAAAAAAATGTTTTGGTTGTAAAGCTTAATATCTCTTCTATGGAGGATTAAAGCCCGATTTTTGATTTAGTTACTATAAAAGTAATTATATTTGTAATAACAACTATCAAAATTAAAAATATAAACTCTTATATAACTCACCTAACAAAAAATCGGCCTTATAGCCTCCATAGAGATGTAAAAAAAAATTCTTGCATAAAATAGTACCTACCAACATCTTAAAGTCAAATCTTAAAAAATACCAATAACGGCTTTAAAAATTGCCCGTTTTCCAACTTTTTGAACATCCTGTATATTCTCCGTTCATGTCCGTCCGCCAACCTATACTTTTTGCATTATTTTAATTTTTTTTCTTAATGAGTCCATTTAGTACATTTTTAGTGTACAATTTTTTTTTATTAAATCAAATCATTTTGTACTTGTGTTTTTAATATGTACGTAATACTAAATATAATGAAAGCAAATTGTCCTTGGTTTGGCCCAAAAAGAACTGATCGTCGAAAAGCACATCATTTTATATGCAATTAAGATTGAAAATTTTCACATTGGGTTCTTTATGAATTAGATACACTTACATTATTTAATCCATCAAGTAATAATACATTGTGTGCTCAATTATTATTATTATTAATATTATTTCTTATTTTTTGACGCGATTATTAATTATTCAAGTTATTATTTTAAAGCAAAGTAAAATATATATATTGTATTTGTTTGTGTAAATATTTTATATTGCAACGTTGGTAAGTTTTTGAAGGCCTATGGTCCTCTAATAAAGCAACCACTTATACTAATACATTTAATACATTTTTTTTTTTGATTGCCATTGTCATTTGTGAGCCACCGAAAAACCAGTCTACAAATGTTGAATGCCGCGTTCATTAAGTTTTGACGGTCATGGGAATTCGGACAGATGGTTACGAATTATTTGTCGGGTTCCGGCGCTCGAGGCTATGATGAAAACCGTAGCATATGTATATACTTGAACCGGCTACCAGCCAACACGCTAATCTCACCCAAGTTAACGAGTCCAACTTTGTCATAAGATACAGGTTCAAAATGATACTTAAGCATGGCACAAACGGCACTAACGGTACCTGGAATTGAAAAAAAGACTGATTTAATTACTTCAATATCGTTAAAAACATCAAAATAATGTTATGTATTTTTCAGCTTCAAATTACGGCGTTCTATAACTTTTTTAAAAATAGTTGAATTAGTTCTAAATTTGTATGGAATATTCTTTAGACAGTATTAGCCATAAACGTCGACAAACCAAAACAATATCATAAATACTTTCTTCTATAAAGCTTAGAAACTTTGTATTTATTTCGCTTTTTCAAATGAAGTTTTAGAGCGTAAGTTAGGATTCTGTAGTCAACAACAGTCAATAGAAATAAAATACAAAGGAATCATTACACTTTAACCGTAGTAAATTTCTAGGTTGCCATGTGTGAGTGAATGAACAGACCACGGATATTTGAATTTTTTTTATTTTAATGTTAATTAAGATATATAGGTAACAAATGCAAATCTAATTTTAATTTTAATTTTGAAACGTACTATATATTATAATGGCCGATGCAGACGTCATGCGTTGCCCCGCCCTCCAAGGTCGTTTCTTAACTTGCTACCTACTTGGTTAGTTGATAGTATTAAAATAATAGCTTCAAAATGACGAATTACTTACAAAAACTATGACATTTAAAAAAATAACACTGTGACATCATAAATGTATTAATAACGGTAGCAGCATAAGGTATATTTTGAGATTTCGTCAAGGGTAATGTCGCGGCGCCTTGAATGCAACCCGTGGTCTTTTAATTTTTAAGCCAAGTTTGAGCGGTCCAAAATTGTTGATTCATAATCAGCATTATAGTACTATTAAAGAAAAATTATATTCAATAAAGTAGATTTGTTTCAATAAATGTTTTTATAATAGTTTAATTTTTTAAAAAATCTGTATATGCTACTGGGGTATAGATTTTTTAAAAATATAATATAATTTCTTTAGGCATAAAATATTATAACGTGAATTAATCGAGTATTTTCATTACAGTTTGGACTGTTCATGACGTCTCTATTAATGATATTGATACGACGATATAACTAAACTGATGAATAATATAATGGAGTTTTTTAATTAATGCCCACAAAATAACATAACACAGTGCATTAATGCAGACAAAAAACTAGTAAAGTACTTGAACTCAAATTATTTAACCACCCTGTAGTACTATAGTTAGTTAAAATACAACTAACTTACCATAAACATCGGACGATTGCTGGATTTCGGTTGGCGCGATAGTAGATATCCCAACACTATTAAACAACCACCCAGCGTGATAATCAAAATGTATGCTTCTTTTGAGAATTCGCTATAAGTTTGTACGAAAGTAATGGTGCCGGTAAAACATATAGCCATGAATACTGCAAAAATATGTATTTTTAGTTACGAACAAATCAATGGGAACGAGTGGCCAAGTGGGTAATGCGTCAATGTGTTTGGCGCTCACTGTCGCCGATCTCACCCATCTAAATAATTTAACTAAATGTGTGCTCTTATTATGAATTACTAACAAGCCAAATGAATTGAGGCCCTCGTTGACATCTGAAATTGAATCGGTTTGGGCAAGTATACAAGTACAGTAACTGCAGCTATGGACTGAAAAATTATAGACAACGCTGAGGAACTTCGGAATCCCAGAAAAGTTGATCAAAATGATAGAAATATGTAATTCAAAACCACACTGCATAGTCCGGTACCAAGGGAAGTTGTCACCACAAATTAAAAAGTTCAATCTGGACCAAAACAGGAGGATGCAATGTCTCTTATACTGTTTAATCTGGCACTGGAGTAATTAGAGATAAATCAGTAAGTCACAACATGAAGCCAAATGGCAAAAATGTAAGGCTTGCGTACGCAGATGACATTAAGAAATATCGAAAACGATGTAGTTAAGGTCACAGAGAAACTAATCTAGTCTAGTCACAGAATGAACTTTGCAATGAGAATAAAACTAAATATAACTAGTAATGACTAGTCATGTGGTAAACAATGCAGCACTAAAAGTAGGTCGCTACTCCTTGGAGCAAATGTATGAATTTAAATACTGAGTAGTCAACATAAAAACAAAAAATAACATGCATAATGAAATCTAGTAAAGAATAAATAATGCAAAAAAAGGTTATTTTGCCATTAACAAGACGTTCATTTCTAGACTACTGTCCAAAGCAACAAAAGAGATACTCTATACCTCCTATCTGTGACCGATATTAAAGTTCGTGCGTGAGACATGGTCCACATTGCAGGAGGACGAGGAGAAACCTACTTATCTTCGAAAGAAAGGGTTTTACGGAAAATTGACGGACCTGTTCGAAAACAAAATGGGTAATATGAGTGACGCAAAAATGGTGATCTAGAAAGGTAATATAACGAGCCAAATATTAGATCGTTCCTAAAAGCAAAACGATTGGAGTGGGTTGGCCATATTTGGCGGGTTGGTGAAAGCCTTATACGAAATGTCCTGATCAGAATCCCAACAAAAAATTAACAAGGGGAAAACTTTAGAAAGAAATCTCAGATACTAAATCGGTTAGTGTTATTCATAATAAATTATAACATAGATTAAATTTACTATTTAATATTTGTGTTGTATACTTGTATGCGTTGCCAATTATAACATGAATATTTTTTATCTATAGAAAGAAATCTCAGATACCGACAGACAAGTCAAAATTATTGATGATGCAACAGACCTGAATGAATGGAGAAAATTGGTAGAAGCGTGCAAAAGGACTTAATGGCCTCTATTGACATATATATATATATATATATATATATATATATATATATATATATATATACTACGATTAACTTCTATTAGGATTTATTTTTACTTTAAAATAACATAGTAACAATTTTTCTACTAGGTTATTTATACTTTTGTAATTTTTATTAGTTATTACTTTTTTAAATCGTAATAACATTACTACCTTTTATTAAGTTAAGATTTTAATAAAATTATCATCATCAAGCTTAACGGCCCCTTAAAGGCCTAACGCTGCCATCATAAAATTATATTCAACAGCATTTGTATTATAATCACTGTTTAACATTTGTTGGGTCTGTGGCTAATGAAGCACTATCTTAGCCCGTGTTCTCTCATTCAATTAAGTTGACCAGTTAAAAATCACTCAGTATAATGGTAAATATACTTACGGAAAATTATTGTTATAGCAACAGACATTCGCTCTGTTCTCTTGGTTGGTGTTTCGGAATTTGGCAAATTAACACAAATTGCAAGTATAGCAAATAAAGAAGTGCATATATTCCCATCGTCTATGACTTTGACAGTGTCGGACATCTCGTCTGTATATCTTAAAATTAAAACGCAAAAGCACACCAATGTATAAGCCATCAACGTGCCAATAGACATCATGTTCATTAGTTGTTGCAAATCGAATATGCTAGAAATAATAGCTAAAATATCAACAAAGTAATATTAATCCAGAGTCAAAAATTAAGCGTTTTTCTTAAATAAATAACTACGGTGTTAACACACTTAATGAACCATATAACCTTGGACGGAATATCCTTAACTTATAGAAAACGATTACATTTAACAGTAAGTTATATCCGATTGTATTAGCTGCTATAATATGGTTGTTTGTAATTATCACTAAAATATGATATTCTTTTGATGTTTTAATGTGTGTTTGACGATTTATAATGTTATTTGCAGCTAATATAATCGGATATTATTTTTTTTTTAACTTTATTTAAAAGTGGTATTTTTCATCTATGTTATGTCAATTCTTAATTAAAAAATGATTTATTGCATTTTATGTTGCGCGAGTGTGTACAAGAGTGTACTAAGCCAAGTTTTTATGCTAAGAATTAGGAAGCTCGGGGAGGAATATAACATTTTTAAGCTGATGTACTTTTAAATGCTTTAATAAAATAATTTTAAATCATGTCAAATATTTTTTATTTAGAAATTATTGTAAAAATATTACATACAATTCATGCATTAATGTATCCATTAACTTTAACTCTAGTTTTTAAATTTAAAAAACCAGTAATATTTGAATTCAATATTACATTTTTTTAAGAATTTAGTTTTATCAACAATTACAATATTAGTATCACCAAAGTTAATAAATAGGTAGCTTAATCTATGCATTAGACGAATTGATTAAGTTAAAAAAAACATAATTTTATATGGTTTTTAAAAATGACATCCACTTTGTTTGAATTAATCTATTAAAGTAATACTCCTGAGCTTTTAAAATACTTAATATTTAATGAAGTAAAATTATAGTTTTATATTATTTTAAGTAAGGTACTTACCCAATATTACACTAAAGATATTACCTGCGAAAAATCCACTAACAATTGTACCCCAAACTGGTGTTTTTGTTTTCGAGTTGATTAAAGAAAAGATTTTGAACATCAAACCATCACATGACATGGCGTACATTACCCTTGGCAGTGGATACAATGTACCTATCATGCTAATTAAACAACATATTTAAACACTTACTAAAAACCAATATATTTATTGAAATAAACACTCAATATTTACTAACTTTGTAAATAAAGCGAATACTGCGCCAACAGTAACTACCCATTGTAACACGGTCCAACTTAATTTTTCATATATGTGTATAAAAGGTGCGTCTATATCCTGGATAGGAAAAGCACACCATAAACACGGTATCGATTTTTACACGGTTAAAGATTATATTCCTAGACAAATCCACATTTTTTCCGAGCCACTCTGATGGCCGTTGTTAATTACGTTGGGTATGTTAATATTAAGTTGTTGTTTATTGAATTAAACAAGTTTGGATAAATTGTATTGAAATATTATTCTATGACACTACACTACTACTAATTACTTTTATAATATATTTACATATGTTAATGTTTACTGTTATTGATAATAAAAAATGAGCTATTAATTAAATGACGACGGATCCGACTAATTAGTAATAATTTCCGGTTCCGTTTACACGGGCCGTGCCGTGTGCTATGTGCTGGGTAAGCACTAATACGGCGCGTGCAGATGTTCATAACATTACTATAGGCGTACACGTTTAAGAGTGCGAATAGCTTTCAACACTAAGTAAAGGCATCGTTAAAAAAAAGAGAAAACTTAAAATGTTCAAAACTTTACGTCAGCTTGAAAGTTTTAAATAATTCAGAGTCAAATTAAAATCATAAGTAATATGTCTCATATAAAAACTTCTAAGAAAATGGTCGGATTTCTGCAATCCATCATTTTATTATTAAATTACCATTTGCATACGTTGTACTCATATAATAGGTACACATAGTATAGTTTAAACTAATTTACTAACGAGAATACATTTGTTTTGTATTCCTATAACTTACCTGATCATAATAAGGCCACATAAGTGTCAATACCGTAGCTAAACTGCAGTACGAAAAGGTTATGATAAATAATGAAATAACAATGGAGAGCGGGATATCTCTTCTGGGTTTTTTGGATTCTTCTCCTATAATAGATAACGAAACAGAATTTGAATTATTAATTTTTTATAAACTTCCCCTGTACTACGGAAACAAGTAGGCCCATAGTTGCTCCTGTTTGACATCCCAGTAACATAAGACAAGAAAAACGAAGGTGTATAAAAACTTGGATTGAAAATTCTAAGAAAAGAAGATAAACAAGACAACACGAAACGATTGAAAATATCATGAGAATTAGTGAAGTAAGTCTGCATATCCAGATTTTTGTAATGAGAAATCCCAACAAAAACACTTCGTTAACTCAGTGAAAATGGTAGCTAAGTAAAAAAAAAGAAGTGTTTCAACGTAAGCCTTAAAATACGTGATATAATTTAGCAACTAAGAAGTAAAGACCATAATGTAATATATTTATTGTACACCGGTGTCAAAAAATAAAATCAGTCGACTTATCAAACCAGTCATGAAAAAATCGAACTTTAGTTTACTTGGTCGGAAAAAGAAGTAGGTAGATGGATAAATATTTGTAGATATTTAGCTGGTGGACCCTATTTGTTTAGAATAAGACAAAGACAATTTAATTATATAATTTACCAGTAGTAGCAACAACGTCGAATCCTACAAATCCATAAAAACATGTCGCAGCTCCTGCAAATACACTAGGCCAACCAAAAGGCAAAAACCCTCCTTCGCCACCTGTAACGCCTTCAGGGATATCTTCTTTTTTTATTTTCCAGTTTTTAATGTCAGCTGAATATTTTAAAATAAATCTGAATAAATAATAATTACTGGACTTGTAAAACTCCAATTTATGCAACACTAAACAAATTATCTTGGGACAAAAAGTATTTTATACACATAACATACCAAGGAAAAGTCCAGATATAACAACAATGATTACTGTCAATATGTTTACAACAGTAAATATTTTGTTGATCATTGATGATTCACGTATTCCCCAAGCTACTATAACTGAAAATAACGGTACATTCATAATAGTTAATATTTATGACGTCATTAAATATCATTCTATTTAAATGAAAGTTTCTTAAACAATCAAATATTAGTATGAAAAATCATGTTCTGTCAAAAAAACTGAATTTTTGAATGTAATATTTAAAATGTGTTGGCTACTATAAAAAAAACTTAGAAATGTTTACCTTGTTGAATTGAATGATATATATATCAGAGATTAATGTGTATTATTCAATAAGTGTAATAGGGTAGACCAAAAATGAATTGTTTTTGTTTTTTGTTGTTCTTATCTTGACATTTTGTTCCTTGGGGTAAAATAATATTTCCCTATTTTTTCAGAATTTTAATTTTTTTAAGGTATAAATATCAATTTTAAAAAAATGTTACATGTATACAAAATCATCATTAAAAAAAGAAGAATAAACCAGTATTTTCTTTTTACAAAAAAAAACTACTTTCCAACTAATTTAGGTCTTAGAATGTAAAATTTGCGAAAACAATAATATATATACCCTTAATAGTACCCTAAAATATTTTTTTTAGGACTATAAAATATCTTTAACTTTTCCTCATTTAGTTACGAAGAATTCCGATATACTTACATAACATATTATTCTAACAAAAGATCAGAAAAAAATTAATTAAAAAAAAAACAAGTTTTGAATACTGTTACTTAACAAATATATTTTTTTTTAGTTCATAGTTTTTACAAGTGATTAACAAAAAACAATATTATTTTATAAAATAAAAAATAATCTTTTTATAGAAATACATAAATTTTATTTACAAAAACATAACACATTATTCTAACAATAGATCAGAAAAAAATGATTTAAAATAAAAATAAAAACAAGATTTCTTATACACTCTTTTGGCATTATGATTGCACAACGGTCAGCTATTAAATATTAAATATATATATATATATATATATAATATTATGGACTTTGCTGTCAAGGGTAATAATAATAGAAATAATATATATACATTCAAAACTTGTTTTTTTGTTTTTTTTTTATCTATTGTTAGAATAATGTGTTATGTTTGATGTTATGGTATATATATCAATGGTCTCGAAAATTTACATTCTAAGGCCTAAATTAGTTGGATAGTAGTTTTTTTTGTAAAAAAAAAACTGGTTTATTCCTATTTTTCTAATGATGATTTTATACACATGCAACATATTTTGTTTAAAATTGATATTTATACCTTAAACAATTTTTTTTGGAAAACTGATAATGCTCGCAACCTCTAAAAATAATTTTAAAAATCTGAAAAATAGGGAAATATTATTTTACCCCAAGGAATATAATGTCAAGAGAAGAACAAAAAAAAAAACAAAAAAAAATGTTTTTTGGTCCACCCTAATGTGAAACTATACTATATTATTTAATAAATGTTCATAAAATAAATACCTGTTAGTAAAAGAATGGCAAAAAAGGAAAAAACATCTGGGTATGGAGCCAAAAAGCTAACTCTAATAGGAAAATTTGTACTTAGATATCTTTTCATTGGATATCCAAATGGTTTGTCTAAATGGCCACTAAGAGCTCTTGCTATACTTGCACAACCTAGAAGAATTGTTCAAAATTTGTATATGAATATATATATATATATATATACATATATACTGTATATGTATACAAAATCTATTAAAAAAAAAAATATATATATATATAAAAATATTTTTATTCAATTTGTACGAACTTACCAATGCTGTACTCTAAAATCAAATCCCATCCGATAAGAAAAGCCACCAATTCTCCAACGCCAACATAGCTAAATGCGTAAGCCGAACCAGCTTTTGGAACACGGCTAGCAAATTCAGCATAGCATAAGCCTACAAACAGTAACAACATAAAAATAATAATTATCTTTTTTAAGAAACAAATTCCAATTTATAAATTAATAATGTAGTAACTGTCATTATAAGCTTTAACAAACATTTTGTAACATAACTCTGTAAGAGGATTTTACAGGAAATACCATGGCACTTTTTATTTTTTGTAAACATATTTTTAAATACGAAAAAGTGAAATTTTTGCTTTTGGAAAATTTGGTTAGAAAATCAGTTTGTAACACGCCTACTCTAGATTATGACTTCATAAATATTGCGACATGGATTTCAATACACCCTTTTATATGCGGCATTAAAGCCTCCACAATTAGGTAAAAGTATGTGCCGTACGTCACGTAATAACATCAAAATTAAAATCTGACATTTTTATTTGTATTCAACTAATTTACGAGGTACTGGATTTGCCTACAGTAAATATGAGATCCCACGATGGTATAAAATGACACTTTATTTCAATTTCCCTACGTGCCACTACTTTTTATATGTAAAACAGGAATAACTTCCACGTCTTGTAGAGTAGTCTGAGTACAATATATTGTTATTTGTTGGAAAGAGGAAGATATCTTACAGGGTACATTAGAATTTGGTTTCAGACTACATGACAATTTTCACTCAGAATAAATTTAGCAATAATACATTTATCAGAAGTCGCTACTATATTTAGTAATGGAGATAAAAACACTAGCAAACTTATCTCTTCTGCAATTGAAAAAGTTAGTAAGGATGGTGTAATAATGGTGAAAAACAGCGAAACCTTAGTAGTCAAAGAAGGTATCGATCCCGGAGGTGGCACTTCTCTATTACTATTGTTGTGCTGTCCTTAACAAATTGGAGATCACCAACGACGATTAAAAAATCGGTTAGTAGAGCGTGTTATTCATAATTATAACATAGATAAAATTTACTATTTAATATTTGTGTTGTATACTTGTATGCGTTGCTAATTATAACATGAAATTTTTTTATCTATAGTGTATTTAATCTATGATTATAATAATGTAACATAATATAAGTTTATTTTATTTATTTAGTATACCAAACACCGCTAATAATAGTTGGTTAATTGTTTAATTAAATTCAAATAGGTAATAAAAAAAACGGTTTTAAGACACAGATGTCACTTAGGGGGATTAGAAGCAGGACCTTTTTAAGAAGTTTTTTTGTAGACAATATTTAAGAAAAAGTTATTTAAAAATAATTTCAAATATGTCAATTAATTTTCCGGTTAGGTAGATCATTAATAGTACCAACATGAATACTTATAAATACATTCATCTTATTTTGAATAATATTTGTATTATTTACCTGAAAGAGCTGAGGCCACAGCAGCAAATAGAAATGACAGTATTACAGCAGGCCCTGTGAGTAGTTTAGATACTTCTCCAGGTAAAACATAAGCACCGAGACCTAACGTTGACCCAACTCCCAATGACACCAAGTCAAACAAATTGAGTTCCCGTCGAAGCTTTGGTTCAGCTACCAAATCTGATTCTTTTTTCCTCCTTAGTAAGGATTGTATTATAGATGGGTTGTCCTGAAATATAATTTTGACAATAATACACACTGTATAGTGTGAGTAACTTTTTGGATCATAAAAAAATGTTGACTATAGAGTTTTTTTTTACATATGTTATATATCCTTCCTTATCCTTACATATATATATATAAACTCGAGTCATGATGTTTGTTAGCGATGGAACTCCGAAACTACTGAACTGATATTGATTAATTTTTTACACTGTTTGTAATTTGATCCAACTTGAGACATAGGATAGGTTTAGTTAGGAAAAATGGGAAAAGGTGCCCGGAAAATTGGAATATTTTAAATTTTAGTGAAAGTTTATTCCAATAGATTTATTTATAGTTTCTGGCTAAAAAGACATGGTTTCACATATGTATAAACTAATAATAAACTAATAATTTGTATAATTTGTGAGTACCATGTTTCACCGAAGCCGGATACAGGGGCAGCTGCTAGTATATATTTTTTTATTAGTAGTTACATTAGTTGATTATTTTTTTTTTTATTGATAAAATGTTCTAATAATTTAAAATGTTTAAATAGTGATAAAAGTCAAAAAATATACGTGTTAACTATTATTTATTTGTAAATACCCATATTTGGTGTTTTATTTGATAGAAAATAAAACTTGCATTTCATACAATGTACCCAATACAAAATTATTTTCAGACTAATAGAAGCTATATTAGCTAAAATTGCGCTTGACAAAATAAAAAATTACAACCCTCGCCACCATGTTTGACTGGGTTTAATAAAAAATGGTTTTTTTAAAAATTAAATTAGGGAATTTAGAAATATTCAATACAAATATAGACTCCATTCGTCCGTTTTTCTCTACTTTGACGAAATTAACAGCTTATAAATAGAATACTATTACGCAAAAAGCATGGTGAGAGATGCCATAGTAATTAAAAAAATGCATATCAAATTTCTACAGGGAACATCGATGGACATTGATTGAAACGTGGAACCAGTGATCCAGCAACTAAAGAGAGGACCAGTGGAAACCGGTGACCAAATGGAACTTTTTCCAAAGTTTATTTCGAGTAAAACGCAAAAAGATACGCAAGTTTTACAACGAATAGTGCAATAACGTAATTTTATTTAACTATAAATCTGTACCAGGTCTCAAACTGTTAAACATTCAAACAGGATTCAGAAAATGACAACTCAATTTTGGAAAGGTTAGGTTAGGAAAATGCCGACAGAGGTCTGTTTCGACGATACAAATTGTTATCGCCTCGTGAAAAATGTATTTAAAACAATAATGTGTATGATTTAATAGTAATATTAAAACCATTACCTGTTGTGGAGTTGTCATGTTTGTCAGAAGCTAACGATTTTTACGTGTAGGTTGCCGTCGTTCAAAACAAAACGCATGTACAAGTGTACAATTTGCCCTACAACGGATAACATCGACTAGTAGCGTCGACGGTATAAATATATATACTATTAATGGTAAAAATTGTATTTGCTGAGGACACAGAGTAGTAGAAAAATATTACAATAGCGAAACTATAATAAAATATAATAATTTTCACTGTGAAACGTACAATAAAAATAATACATTGTTTGAGATTTTAACTGCCAATAGCAACATATATATTTTGTAGCATATTAAATGACAATATACAAATACAATAATTAATAAAATACAGGTTATAAATTGACAAATAAAATAGTAATTGTCAACGTTTAACGTTAATAAGTTCATTTTTTTTTCGGAAAATAAATATAATTGTATTTTAATAATTGTTTTGTTATAATGGTTATTAACACTATTTTATGAAGCATTTTAAGTTCAATTTCCACATGAATGGAAATATTTCTGTACATCTAAACTAAACACCCCTAATCAGTGGAGGAAAATTAAAAATCACCATTTTGTACAAAGAGAAATTTTACTTTTATCGTAGTTTTATTATTAATGTTCGTTAGATATTTATAACTTGTTTGTAAATTTACATTCTGTACGTAATTTGTAAAAAGTATCAGTGTTATTTTGACACATTTTGGTCACACAACACTAAAAAACTGCAAAGCATGAATATGCGGTTAATCGTAAAAAAATACGCGAACAAAGTATAGTGCAATCATAATTAACTCAAAATAGTAAAAAGAGTGATTTTAACTTTGATCTCGCTCAAGCTTTACTGTCGGCTAATATTCCACTCTACAAGGTAAATAATTTTAAATTTAAAGAGTTCTTAGAGAAATATACATCTAAAAATATCCCTGACGAGTCAACCTTAAGGAAAAATTATGTAGACGATATTTATCAAATAACTATATGATTTTTTTTAAATTTGTTATTCTGCTACCCGAATTTTTGAAGAAATTTTGTTCATTGGTTTTTTCCATTTCTTTCTTTCTATTTTAACTTTGATGAGGAACTGAGGAGTTATTTTTTTGAGAGTGGTGTTCTTTGTCCGTTATGGTGCATTAATTTCTGATTTATGAAGCTGAAATTGTAAAGTTTTATCTTGTGTCCATCGGACAATTGACTAAAGCTATAGAATATTAACACAGAATGCCGGAGATTTCGTGAACACAACACTCATAAGAACTCCCGCTTAAATACAAAAAGACTTTATGAACATACTACTGATTTCATCAAACCCATCATACATCTTATAAACAGTTTCAGTAACAAGCTACTAAAGATAAAAATCGCTAATTAACTCTGATGTTCGTCGTTTGCTAAATTGTGATATCCGATCTCAGTCTTCTACTCATTCGACTAGACCTTTGTATCCACAATACCGCTACCGTCAACATAAGGAGCATCGAAAACTTTTTAACTCTGATAATAATACGAGTTACATAGGTCCCATTTTTTAGACTAGGACTGGCATTATAATAACCGTATTAATATTTCCTTCCTTTTGGCCCCCACCCGTCGTGGTCCTTTTTTTTTGCCGTAGAAGCTCGAGACGTAGAGAGTTGTTTTAAACAGTAATGCATTTACTTAATTAAAACAACAATGTGATGTTTTTGCTGCTCTTGGTAAGTTTAAACTTGTTTCTTCTAATGATCCTGATGGAATCTCAGCTTACATACTTTATCAATGTCGTTACTCCTTATTATTTTCTCTATTTCTTCTATTCAGAAAGTCTATGGATGAAAGTGTTTTTCCATTAGTTTGGAAAAATTGCTCTGTCACTCCAGTGCTTAAATCCTCTGATCCGTCCCTTGTAACCAATTACCAACCTATATCTATATCGCCTCACATTGCTAAAATATTTGAGTCTATTATCTATAGTTATGTGAGGCCTGCACTAAATAACATTCTTATTCTACAGCAGCATAGGTTCCGGTCTGGGAAAAGTACTATTACAGGTAGTGTGTCATTCTCTTCCTTTATTTATGACTGCCTTAATAAAGGACTTCAGGCAGATGTCATCCTAACTGACTTCTCTAAAACATTTGACACTGTACCTCACAACCTACTTGTCAACGAACTTGACCGCATCGGTATTGGAAATTCTTTCCTGCTGACTGCCTTCTTTTACAAAAGGAACTTAATCAATTTAATATTTAGGTCTCTCATTTAGGTCTTTCCCTTAATATCAGCAAAAGCAGTGTGACTTCTTTCTCCAGATCCAGAAACCCTATGCACTATCCATATCTAATTAATTGCTCTCCATTGCAACGAGTTTCTATTATCAGAGATCTTGGTATTTATTACTCATGCAATCTTTTCAATTGATTGTCTTCAGACTTTGTATTTCGCTCTTGTCCGATCCATTCTGGAATATGTGGTTTTGTTTGGCATCCTTATCTGGCTAAGGATAAATTGCGGATTGAGCGTCTCCAGCATAAATTTTTGTCTTACGCTGCATACAAGCTTAAATTACCTCCACTGCAACATTATTACTTCTGACACGGTCGGGTATTGCCATCACCACGGTCTGGACTATTACCCGGACCGTGATGACAATACCCAGCCGGGTCGTGCTTTCCTAATTGCCCATTAAGCAAAATCTCGGCGCAGCTTATCAGCAATGGTGACCGCCGACTGCGACATAAATACGGCCGTCACCGGACCGCCGACAAGTAGTAGTAATATACAATCAGCCGGTATTATTATCTGTTACATCGTGCGTTTACATTTTAATAAACGTTAAACAGTATTATTTGAACTCGGGTGATCATTTATTAATTTAGTTTAATTAATTCCTATCCAAGGACTGTCTACGGTCACGACACTCCCATATTAGCCGTATCCTTAATATCCCATCTTTATCATCCCGTCGTAATGATGCTGACTCTCAATTTATAAACGCTCTTCTCAATAATTCCTTTGATGCTCCTGATCTTCCTCCCGTTTCTTATTTAAAGTTCCTTCATACACCACTCGAAATCCAACTCCTTTATATACTCCTATTCATTCCACTTCTTATAGCCACAATCATTCAATGCACAGAATGCTCAGATCGGCGAATCTAGCGTGACCTTTGTCGATTGTCAGTCATTAAATTTGTATTATTACTATATTTATGTTATGTCTCTTTATATCTGTTATCCTATGTTTAAATGTACTTTTAATTTTTATGTTAGCTATGGAATTTAAAAACAGCCGATTGGCGTCTATACATCATCTACTGCCGCCGCCGTTGTCACGTTTTATCAGCCGTCGTTGCTGCCCGTTCACCACCGTATACGCCCATCCCTTCGTAAATGTCGTATTTGCTTAAAGAAGAATAAAAAGGGCTTTAGTTTCTTTAAGTATGTGTTGATTTCATTAACTGAAATACTTTGCTTAGAATTATAAAATGCATTCACATGTATGATGTACATACATTAGGTTTCCTTCTTCAGAGCCTCAACGTTTAGCTTGGGCTAAAGTTGTATGACTTACTAGTCATAGTCCAAGTACAACATATTTTGTATGTGAACGACATTTCACTAATGATGACTATCAAATTTACCGGATAGTAATGTGAAAAGGTTAAAGCCCACAGCTATTCACAACATCACTGTACTTGCCGGTATAATAACTTCAGAAAGAGTGTTGCAATTTACATTTGGATTTAAATGTAAAATGTTACTTTATAGGAAATTGAAACAATTGAAGAATCCTCAAATGAAATTGTAGGCCATAATTCATGTGATGAAACTAAAAATATTGGTAATTCACTCACTGCATTTGTTCAACTGGTAAGATAGCCAACATTATAATTAGAGATATCATCAATTTATAATTTTTGTTTACATAATTCATTAGTTATTAAATAACAACAAATTATTTAACTAATTTTGATTTAAAGCATGAACAATTTATTACATATTATAATTTATAAATTGGGGAAATACAATTTCTGATAATCAATTTATTCTGATCTGATAATTATATACATAGTACCCAATATTACACTAAGCTCTACACACATTTTTATTTTATTTTGTCAATTATGATAATCAAAAATATTTGTATTATCAGCCTTTGGATTCTAGTAGTATATGCAATATTTGCGAGAAAAGAAAAAATTATACTTGAGAATAAGCTTTCTAATATTTTACAAGAAATAGACAAATTGCCTTCAAAATGTCCATGTAATGACACTTTACCTACGCCAGAGTCTATTTGTTTTCAATCACCCAAAGGTTAGTATTTTATAAGAAATTCTCAGTTTCTCATTTAAGTAAAATATGAAATTAATCAAAGTTTGGAGTTGTAGCAAAAATGTGTAAGTAGCACAATACATAAATATTATATTGAGATTATTAAACTAGTATATAGATTATACATATTTTTGATAATTGATTTTATAAAAAAAAAGTCAGTTTTTTTAACTTGTTATACTTTTATATCCATATTTTCTTACATAAAATGTTCTTAAAAACATATATTTTATTGACAATTCTTTAACTAAATACCTATACACAACATATCTTTAAAATATTTTCTTATTTGCTGAGATATTTATGTAATGAAGGCAAAAGTAAAATCATAATTTTTGTATAGAAAAAAGTTGTTACTTAAGTATGTAAGTAACTGTATGTTAATGTTAAGAGTAATAATTTTTTAGTTGTATGATCAAAAGTCACGGTCATTATATTAAGAACAAAATTATTAAGATAATAACAATTATTCTACTTAAATGATTACCTAACACAGTTTAAGGCTTCGATTCACTGACAATGCTAATTTTATTCATACTAGATACAACACCAAAATCTAAAGCCAGACGAGCACTTTGGTTAGATTATTATGATATATCACCAAGTAAGTTGAAAAACAAATTTAAAATAAAAAATCGAGTTAATAAAGACTTACAAATTAACGCAAATAATTCTATACAAAAATCTAAAAGATATATTTGGAGACAAAAAAAAATTAAATTACTATTGAGAGACCTTAAAGACAAATGTGGACTTCTAGGAAAATTGGCCTCTTACATGGAGAACACATTCCCTCAGGCTATGTCTCAAGTATATTTTAAGTTGAAATGTGGTAAAAGGCAATATACACCAGAGTTAAGAGCATTTGCTCTAACACTCAATTTTTACTCACCTAAGGCTTATAACTTTATAAGAAATGAGTTTCAAAAAAGTTTACCTCATCCATTTACATTAAAAACTTGGTATCAAGAAATTCAAGTTTAAGAAGGGTTTACAGATGAATCATTCAAATCATTAAAACTTAAGTGTGATGATTACAAAAATAATGGTAAACAGCTCTATTGTAGTTTGATGTTCGACGAGATGCATTTGAAGAAATTAGTTGAGTGGGATGGAAAATACTGCCATGGATTCAGTAGTATTGGAAAAGACTCACAATCATCTGATTTAAGTCTCAAAGTAGCTACACAAGTATTAGTTCTCTTAGTTGTGGCACTTGACTCTCGTTGGAAAGTTCCTATAGGATACTTTTTTCATCGAGGTTTAAAGGGCCAAGATACAGCTGAAATTGTAAAAGAAGCATTTAATACGGCTTAATAGAATCGGTATGTAACACTTTATTTTACCAACATAATGCTTTATACTTTAGGACATACATAAGCAAAAACAATTTTGTGTATGTTATATCGGTATATTTACTGAATTGTATTAAAATTGTCAAATAAGTAAATATCAGAAAGAATATAATATAATATCATCTATGAATTATAAATTAAATTTTATTTTTTAGGATTAGAAATACCATTTCTGACGTTTGATGGCCCTACAACTCATTTTAATATGGCAAAAACTATTGGGGCTCACTTATCATTAGAAGGTATGAAAACAAGTTTCCCTCATCCTGCAGATTCAACAAAAGAAGTCAACTGTATTTTGGATCCATGTCACGTTTTGAAGCTTATAAGAAACTCATGGTGTTCAATACGTATTATGCATAATAGTAAAGGTAATAAGATAGATTGGATATATATTGAACGATTAGTAAATCTACAAGAGGCTGAAGGATTACATGCTGAGAATAAGCTTAGAAGAGTACATATAAATTGGAGAGAGAGACCAATGAAGGTTAATATAGCAGCCCAAACATTAAGTTGGAGTGTAGCTGATGCGATTGATTTCTGCCGTAACTCAAACATTAAAGGTATTGAAAATAGTGAAGATACAACAGAGTTCCTCAGAATAGTAGATCACTGGTTTGACATCCTAAACTCGAGAAATCCACATGGACATGGCTTTAAAGCACCAATGAAAACTAGTAATCGACTCATTTGGCAAACAACATTAGATAATACAATTAGTTACATAAAAAGCCTTAATTAATGTAATTTAAATAAGGTATTTATGGTAGAACATAAAAAAAAAACTGGTTTTCTCGGAGTGATAGTTTCATCAATAAGCATCACAAATGTTTTTGAAGAAACTGTCTTAAAGAATGAACACCATAGTTATCTTTTAACATACAAAGTTTTGCAGGACCACATTGAGTTGTTTTTTAATGCTGTGCGAGGTAGAGGCGGTTGGTGTGTGAATCCCACTCCAAGTCATTTAAGTGTAGCTTACAAAAAATTATTGTCACATCATCAAATAAAGACATCATCAGGAAATGTTGAAGCCTTAAATAACACTGAGATATTGTTTGCAACTCGTACTCCTATTCAACGTTATTCTGACACATTAGCTGAACCAGAAAGTAATCCAAACCTAATAAGAAATGATAGATTTACTAAGGATGACACTGACAAGAAAAAAACATCATGCCATGAGGACAATGAATGCATTGAAGATATTATAAATACTTTACCTTCATCAGATGAAAGGACTAGAATAATTCAGGTCGAGTTAAATGATATTGGCTTAGAGATGCCTCCAAACTACTTTGCCTTGTCTGAATATGCTGATAATGCAGTTGGACTGGTAGCTGGGTATGTAGTATGGTAAGTAACCTAATAAATTAGTAAATACACAAAAAATGTTTTAAAATATAATATGCAGTACAAAATTAATATACATACTATTGATAAAAATGTTTTCTAGGTTTCGAAACGTATAAACTGTAGTTCAGCGCTGTATTCAGGAGATTTAAAAGACAACCGTATTAAATTGATTTTACAAAAAACTCATGGAGGACTTATCATTCCAGCTTCCGATGTAATAACAATCTGCCGTACCACAGAGTTGTTGTATAGAAAAGCAGCACATGATATCACACAGATTAGCGAGTCAAATTTGGCTCAAAATATAGCAGTGTCTGTTTTCTCACAAGTTGTATCACTTGGCTTGTTTCCTGCTCTCAACAGTCACAATTATGACTGTGATTATAACCACAAAACACAACTAATAAAAACAATAGCGTTATGCTATTTTCGTATCCGAATGTTTCACGAAACCAAAAAAATTAATGAAGACATAATAGGTAAAAATAAAAGAAAAACATTGACACGACTTGCAATATTTCAGAATGTTTAGTATCTACTAACTACGGACTGATAATTTTCTTCTTTTTACATTTTCACTTATTACCAAATAATTTATACTTAATAATTTTCTAAATTCAAAAACTTATTAAATCGTTCATGTTCTGCATAAGTACTATATCTATATCAGCTATATCTATACTCATCATAATTTTGTTGTTTCTTTCATTATCTTTTATCAGCAGTTAAAAAAAATGATATCGACAATATGATATCAGAAACAATCATCGAAAATTATTAAACAAAGTTAGATACGGTAAGTAAAATAACGAAACGGAATCAACATGGCGGCCTCTGAGGCTAGTCACTTTTGTTACATGGGAAATATGCATTAAGCGCCCCTTCCATGTATATAGTTCAGTGGATACGTCCGGCTATTGATCTCTATACCTATCCCTACCACCGTCGTTCCTAATATTATTATTATTCACTGTTATTAAATACTATTATACTACTATTATACTAGTATTACATGTACAATTAATCTTACTCATATTTTACTTTATTAGCTGCCGCCGTCATACAAATAATAAATTAATAAACCTTTATATTTTTCTACATAGAAAACAACTATTATTATTATTATTATATTATCTTTTATTTTACCCTTTACATTTAAGGAAGATAAACAGCTAAGAACCCTAAAGGGCCAAGTGTTGCACCACTTAAGGTAGTCACACACAGTGAACCGTTTACGAACAAAATTGTCCGTTTTAGAAAAATTTTGTTCGTACACCGTTGAGCCTCACACACTACATTGTTTTTCTTCGTTGTTCAGTGTTAATAAAACGGTGACCATTTTATTCGTACACCGAGTCATCTACACACTACGCCAAATGTACACTACGTTACCATTAAAGTTTCAAAAGTTGATATAAAAATAATTAGTTTTGGAGGGAGTTAAAACAAAATTTTTTTTTAAAAATTGAGATCATATTGTATAAAATCTTAATGCAAAAAAAAATTAAATTTTTTATTATACCCTATGGTATATTGAGTGGTTTACGATAAAATTATAACTCTGTATAAGATATTTGCAATAATTAATCATAGTTTAGCTCGTTTCTTACGTTATTTTCAGACCAATATTTAGTATGCAATTTGTATAAATTTGTATGACAATATTCAGAATTTGTATGACCGTGGTTTATAAGGAAAATGGGAAAATCATGAGAGAAGTTGGAAAAACGTTTCTCTATCCCCCCTCCCCCAATACAAATACCAAGATAATAAAATTTCTTTTGACAGTGATTAGTACACAATTTGTATACATTTTTATGACCATTTTGGTATATATTATTATTTATTTTTGGTATAGTAGTTATTGATCATCCAAGAATAGGTTAAACTCCTTTCCCAATTTTAAAGCATATTTTTTTAGCTTATGTTTTCAAAAGTTCTCAACTATATTTTCTACATTTTTTCTTGTTGTTATGCTATAAAAATTTGTATTATTTTTTCTCATTTGATAATACATGTACACTTATATGCAGCATACAATCTACATAATACTAAAATAAAAAATATTTTAAATTTTATATATTTTAAAATTTTATTTGAAAAATTATTTCTGAATCGGCCAAAAAAACAAATTATATATTATCAATTATATTAATCCAATAATATTCTCAAATTATTATGATGTGTTCAATGAAATGATGAACTTTCAATTTATAATAAATAGCGTAAAAGTATTTACATACAATTTTTATGCATTATGCAGAATGTTTGGAGTGACAGTTTATATTATAATGTACATCATTTTATTCAAATTACTAATATTAAATATAATATAATAAATAATAATAATTTAATAAATATAATTTTAAAATGTTTAAAACTGTTCTGTTTAGTTCTAACACCAGAAATGGGCAAACACCTTCCATTTTTTAACACCTAACACCGAACATAAATCAAACTACTCAGTTTTCACTCTGTGTCCGTGTACGGTGTTTTTCGTCCGTTTTAAAACCCACACATTATACTAAAAAAAAATCAAGAGGTTCTAAACTTTTAGAACATCCTGTATATATGTAATATATTCCTAATAAGAATTATTATTGGCATGAGAATGAAGGAAGATTAGTATCGAGTGCCCGGCCTTATGTGCGAAACGACTCATAAAACAATTTTACAAATTATTAAGAGTACAATATTGTAATATTGTTAGACGTTACATAACCTTACGAAAGAAGAACCGCCGGTGGATTATTCCAATAACATGTTCCACATTTTATTATCAAGTATATAATATTTTATGTCTAGCACTGTGTTATGACCAATGTGTCTACTAATAAAATAAAATAATTACCGAATAAATAAAGTTGTATTTTATCATCTAGTTTATTTTTTTTTTATTTCAATCCCCCCCCCTTCTTTATTTCTACCTTTATTAAAATATGTCTATGCAAACGTTGGCGAAATGTTCATAGTTTTTATTTTTAATAGATATAAATCCTAATAGTAATCTTAGTAATTATTATAATATTAGACATGGAGATTTAGTGTTAAAGGTAACAATATAACCTAAATGGAATTCTAATAAGGAGTGGCTAAACCAAACAGTGTAGGATTTATTATATGTTATACAGTGAGAGGTCGAAAGTTGTGGAAAAATATCCTGGCTTGCCAACCACATTGGAAGTGGATTGGCTTAAGTACAATTTATATAAGAGCAGTTCGGGATACAAAAATTAGTCCCCCATATTTGAAATTTAAAAGTATGTTGTTTTCAAAGTATTTTTCAGAGCGTTACTGTGTGCTAAATTCCAAATTTATAAAGCTGTTTTTGCGCTTGTGTGTTGCTTTAGAGAACTGTTATTGTGTGGGCTATTAGTCATATTTTGTTATTCACTTCGACACGAAACCGAGAAAATAAAAAGGCTAAAAAACAATGATAAAATAGTTGTGTGTAATTTACACACAGTACTTTAAAGGTCTTTTTTATACTGGTGTATCTCATAGTATGAAAAATCTGAGTACATATACCGTATTATTAAGTATTTATATTATTCAAAATTGTATTTCACATCGGTACGAATTTTAGGTGTAAATAGAACGCATTAAAAAATATTACCAACAAAAATTCAATGTATAAAATAAAAACCGAAAAAAACTTGAGCAACTTATGGTTATATATAATAAAGAAATTATTATTATTATTAACACATTATTGTTTTAAGTCTTTTCGATATTCATTATATATATAATGAACATCCAGTAAAAAAAAAAAAGGCTGGTCGATATCAAGTTTAGAACAAATATGTACGGAGAATTTTGATAAATAGGCTGAAGGACAAGCTTAACTATCGTTAGTTTTAGATACTTAAAACAATTTAAATAGGTCGATGTGAAAGATGTTGTTTTCGTTTAGGATATATATTTCTTGTTTTTAGTGCATTGGTGTATGACTAACAGGTAACTGTTTGAACGAGCATTGTTCTGTGCTTATACAAACATAGCAAAATTTTGTTTTTTCCTTATTTCAATAAACAACATAAAAAAAGTAATGACAACGATAAAACCAAGAAAATTCAATTATTGTCCATAGAACAATAATTGAATACACATGCATGGAATACACTGCATGACAAAAAGAAAAAGGCAGGGTTCTTTGTAAAAATATGTCTATAAAATATAACTTATGTAACCTATTAATTTGATTACATAATTTATCTACAGGGTTGATCTTATCTTATACATTAACATCTTAATAACACTATTGAATTACAATGAATGCCTTAATAGCTGTTAATAAAAATTGAATATATTTTTTGCGACATAATTTTAAAGGCATTAACTTTTTGTTTATTTGATGATTTTTCGTTTAAATGTCAAAATTCGGAGTACACAATAAGACTTAATACACAGCCGATTGTAAACCCAAATTTAGGCCTCCAATTAAAGAGTAAAAAAAAAAAAAAATGACGAAAATCGAACAGCTCGGGCAGTCAGCGATAGCCACCGGTCTATACAAAATATCAAATGAGCTTTAATGTGGCAACGTATCTTCAAAGATAAAGTCGATACAGAACCCTTAGTTTCTAAGCCCGCGATGTATATCTTGTAACGTTTTATTACTAATCTCTAAATGGGGGAAGTAGATACATTCGTGATACAATGTCTCCCAGAAAGATTGATAAATAATTTTATTTATGGTGAAAATAATCGAAGAATATTTTAGAGAATGCAACAGATGATATTATTGTGATGTTTGCCATGAAGGAACAATTTTAACGAAGCCAATGTGTATGGAAGTGACGGTTAGGTATGCCATAAGGTAAATGAGAGTAGATAACGGAAGCATAAGACGAGAGAGAGACAATAGGATTATTATTTATTAATTAGGTTTGCAGTCTAACAATTACCAGAAAAACCTACGCCTAGGGAAAAATGTACTTGACTTTTGGCGTACGTCGGTATTTCGAATTACATTCGACCACCAAGCTTTGAGTGACATGTTTTTAGACGAAAAAACACACAGTGTGTAGAAAAACGGAATATTAATAACAACACATGTGTCTAAGCCGAAAACAAGATATCCCCCATGGCTTCAAATCGGATTAAACCAACAAAATATGCATACCTTACACGATTTACCGTCGAATTCGCAAATAAAAAAATACTTTGTAAAAATGTATTTATTTAGAACATTTGTTTGTTTTCATTCTAATAAAACTAGAAATCGCAGAGAGAGATTTTTATTCAATTCATTTTGTTGCCGAATTAAACACTAATAAAAATGTATAAGTTCGCTATTTTGTTAACATCGTGTTTCTTGGCTGCCAATAACCCTGTACGGGCTACTCTAACAGATGAAGCTAATACCACAGTTAAGGTAATTTAATTAAATAATAATTTTATAAAAACAAAACACTAAAACTCATCTTATATTTTTTTTTAAATAAATAAAAACATGAGCATATTCTTCGTTCAATTACCAACAACTACTATAGTTTTGTAGCTTAATTTGAATATATTTCTATGAAAAATAAAAAAATGTAATGCATAGATTTTTTTTAGATTTCTTACTTTTTTCAATTTTTGTTTTTTTTTTGTCCATTGATCAAATTGATTAGCAAGTTACTATATTAGTTTAGTTCGTAATAGAACGGACAATGATAGGGTTTATTTTTTTTTATACTTAAACAAAATGTGTATAGGAAGTTATGAAGCTTTTACAAGAAAAATAATTGTTGATAAAAAAATCAAAATTTTTTATAATGGGAATTCTCATATAAAACAATTTTTTATAAAAGCCGAAAAAAAAATGGAACAAATCGACTTTACCACCCCAGACCCGAATTTCGATTTTATTTTTTCATTCGATTTGTTTTTTAATGCTGAAAACGATGGCACGAAAAAAAATTTGCGGAAACGCTTAGTTTTGAAGTTACAGCTACTTGAACTTAGAAAATTATCACTGCGCGGGACGCCCCGCAGCGCCCGCACGGTCGCCGCCGTCATGCAAGAGGGATCGCGTATATTTTTCATGGATGCAGACTCTGAAAGCCGTGTAACTTACCCAGCAAAAAAAAGACCACGAAGGGTTTAGTTGCGTCGGCAGCTATTGAATTAGAGGAGTTCACCTAATTCTGATATAGGATTCGTAAAAATTATATGGGGAATAAGAAATCGTAAATAAAACGTAAATAATCGTATAAACTGTTTGACAGGATAGACAAATTAAGATAACAATGTTGGATAATATTTTGGGACATACAAGTTAATTAAGACAATAAGGACAGGTAGTGTAGATAGTAGATAACATCTTGTTTTGTTCAGAAAAATCACCTAAAATAGGTCCCGAATTAATTAAAATGTCATACGTAAGTATAGTCCCTACGTGTTAACCAGTGTTGGGAATTATCTAGATAATTTTATCTATATAAAAAATTGTAATTATCATCTTATCTAGGTAAAAAAAATTAAATCATCTTATTATCTTATTTAGATAAGCAAATCGGTTAGCTGAGGCTATTTATCTAGATAGAAATTGTATCTATTTTTTAAGTTATTTATTTATGGGTTTTACAAAAATAGGTTTCGGGATCCGACGAAACGCATAATGTAGTCCTAGCCTAAAAATATTAATATACCTAGGTCCTAATGAATAGTGATATAAGAATATATTATTAATACATTGGGGTTGGCTTATTAGACAAGTCCAATATTCCATTGTAATCCAATGTATTTTAGTCGATTATACAAAACGTTTTTTACCTATTTTTAATAGGTAGAAGTAGATAAGAGTTATATATGTATTATCGTATAATTTATTATTTATATTCGTAGTTCTCGACTACAGTGCTCAGTTTTTATTTAATGTTGATAATTTTTTTCCCAGTACTCTCGAAATAATTACTAGTGCTATATAAAACGTGCTTATAAGAATTTTCACGATAATAATTTCAAGATTAACATTGACCAAAATCCCAACAAAAAAAATGGTCGAAAGTGCAGGTGTTTATTTGAGCAGAATGGTTATAAATTATATTTTACAAATATATATACATGTCAGGCGAGTCCTGTATCAGTAACTACATATAGGGTAAAGAGTAAAGACTATAAAAGTAAAATAGTAAATAGTAATACAAGTCCAATAAACAATGAGCCGTTTCCGAAAAGTTATTTGTATTTTCAATCAAAATAAAATAACAAAACCATGTAATAAACATTTTAAAAATAATGTGGGCTCTCCGTAGTCCGTAGACCGTATGTGGCCAAAACGATAGTTAAGCCTCAAAAAAGAACAATATGTTTATAAATAGTTTCAACCGATAACGAAATGTCTCGTCATCGATTATCGAGTTTGATAAACTCGTATTTACTTTTTATACCTATTTATACTATTTCTGTTGCCTACATAAAAGATTACATAAACAGAGTACATGAAAATAATAAATGACAAATGAACAGAGTAGCCATAAATCGCGAAATCTAATATAAGGAAAATTTGCTCTTTGACGTAACTGTCCATTTCTTAGTACCTACGTCTTATTGGTTATTAAATTGTTCTGTAATCTGTGAAAATACTTTGTTAGCCTATAGAGTAATACAGTAATAATTCTATAAAAAGCTATAATGGGTCCACGTATTCGGGGAACACTGTCAGTGTTACACTGATTTGGTGCAATATTATTGTTTATATTTTTCAACGATAATTCGTTATCGGAGCAAACCCTTATGTCTTTCAGCTTTGTAAAGAACACAGACGTGTTCACAGTTGTCAGTTCACGTTTTCGCGAGTGTTTTTCTTATGTCTGTTATAACTTATAACTTTATGGCAGTGTTGTGTTTTTTTTTATTCGAATAATAATTATTATTTATTGTTTTTAATTATAAAATGGATAAATATTTGGAAAATTCTGTTTGTTCTAAACGAAGTCACGAGGGTGATCAATACCAAATTAACAATCTTGCTGGGTCACAACCAGCAGAGCCTACAAATGCTATCGATAAAAATCAAAATTATCTATTGGATGGCAAATATTACAAAATACTGTCGGTTGACGGATCAAAAATTACTGTTAATTGTCAAATTTGCGCAAAGAAAATAATGGCTTATTCGAATTCAACTGGTAACCTATTGAGTCACTACAAAGTAAGTAAAATTAATTTTTCACTGGTGATATTTAACTAAATAGCCCTTAAGTAGTTAAACTAACATAAATTTACAGTTTTTTTTTTATAAAAACATAAAACTGTTTGGTTATTTTTTATAATGTGTTAGATAGATATACTATTATTTTGTATAATAAATTATGAGTATTGGAGATTTTATACAAAAACTAATATTGCAATAGTTATTTTTTAAATATTATTTCAATTACCTAGTACTCTTTGTTAAACAAAATAGCACTTAATAGCACTCAAGTAAAAATATTTTTGACTTAGGTTACTTTAATTTTCAATACCTAAAACTAAATTTACCAAGATATATTATAATAAGCATATTATATTTTTTTAGCTTGTACATTCTTGTATGATGAATGAATTAAAGAACTATAAAGAAAAAAAACGGTATGATAATTCTAATTTAATTGCACCAAAATCAAAGCAAGCAAAATTGTGTTATTCTACGTTTAATTCAGAACTTAAACAAACATATTCAAAGCAAGAGGTATTCATTTTAATTAGTATTTACATTATAACCTAAATTAATAACCATTTTACTAACTTAGAAAATAGCTAGAAATTTAAAATAAGACATAAATAATTCTTAATAATCTAAAATCTAAATACTATATTAGTTTTATAAAAATATTATGCATACACATTAATTACTTATTTTGTAAATAGTTACAATAAAAATAAGTTATAGTAAGCTTGTGGTTACAATAACGCCAAGTCTTATTAGAGTTTGTGAATTAGTATTTAATAGTTTTCATTTTTTTTTCTAATAGGCAAATGTTTCTATGTTTGTAAATAATAACTCACGTAAATGGTAATTATAAATGAATTTGATCCACTAAATTGTAATAACAATTATTTAGTATTTACTATGCTGTTTTATCAAATTCAATTTATTTTCCCAACCTAATAAACATAGTTTTTATTTCTACTAACATCATGTTAATAATAAAAACCATATTTTTAAATACAATATTTTCAAGTTTTTAATAATAAAAACAGTAACATATTTAAGTGTTATGTCTATTATATATAATAGCTATAAAATGTAATATTTATTCCTTACAGGTGTATGATTTGGTTTTTCAATACATAGTCTGTGAAATGCGACCACTCCTAACTTGTGAAAAACATAGTTTTCGCAAATTAATTTTGGGACTTACTCGTACAAACGATGAATCAATAATTCCAAATTTAAAAAATTTATCAAATCTGTTGAATACTAATTATATCTCTTATGTAACCATGTTGAAGTTGACATTTGAGAAATTAAAATTCATTTGTACCACTGCGGATATTTGGAGTGCCAACAACAAAAGTTATTTAGGTAAGTGTGATATGTAATTTAGTTTGTTAACAAAATGTTAATTGATTTGGTTAATTCAAAGTTGTAATACATTAAATACAAGTATTTAAATCCTTCTCTGGATATCAAATTTAATTAAAAAAATATATACTAAAAACAAATTTTAAATGTAATTTATTGAAATAGTTTAAAAAATATGATCTATAGTAAAATGATCAAGAAGTATGCTAGAATAAAAACTGTATGTAGTTTTATAAAATAACACTTTTATATTCCAAAACAATTGTTTTTGTCAAAAAGACAATTTAGTAATTAGAAATTTGGGTAATATTTTTGGTACATGATATTACAACTTATTATCTTAAATGCTCATTTTTTCACTAAGGATTCTCAGTTCAACTATATTATACATATTTATAACATGTTATAAAAATTATTCTATACAACACTGATTTTTGTATAGTATTATAATAGTTTATTATTTATAATTAATATTATATCAATTTACCTATCGTTACATAGAACACGATAAAGAAAGTTAATATATATTTTTAAATTTATACTTGTATTCAATTTAAAAATAGTAAACAGTATGACAATTATAAGTAGAAAATTTTACTTAATTCTTGTATTATATTATCGTTTTTCAGGGATGACTTGCCACTTTATCGATGCTGAAACATATGAACGTAGTTCATTTGTTTTGGGCTGCAGAAGAATAAAAGGAAGTCACAATTACTTGAACATTGCAGAAACAATGACAACAATCATACAAGAGTATAATATTCATTATTCAAAAATCACACATACAGTGACAGATAATGCCAGCAATTTCGGCAAAGCTTTCAGAACTTTCTCAACAAGCTTACTACCATCTCAGTCAACTACTATGAGTATAGGTGACTTAAATGAAGACATTTTAGACTCCGAGGATTCTGATTTTGAAGACAATATTACGACAGTTGATATTGGTCAGATATTTAATAGTAGTTCAGAACATCAGAATAAAGATGACACATTTTGTTTACCCCCACATATGAAATGTTGTGCTTACAAATTAAATTTAATTGCAACAACTGACATTTATAAAATTACTAATTCACTCTATACAAATCTCTCTGAATCCACCTTTAAAAAACTGTTTAGGTTTTGGACTGTTGTTAGTAGATCTACTGTAGCTTCTGATAAAATTGTTGAGATGTGCGGTTGTAAATTCCCTGTACCTGTTGTAACTCGATGGAATTCTTTGTATGACTCAAGCTTAAAAGTTTTAAAACATAAACAGCAATTAATTGAAGCATTTGATGATTTGCATTTAAAAAAATTAAAACTAAATGAATGGGTGTTTTTGGAGGAATACTGTAAAGTGATGGAGCCATTAGCTATATCTCTAGATAAGTTACAAGGTGAAAAAAACAGTTTTTTGGGGTATGTAGCTCCAACCATTTTATCCGTACGGCTTAAGTTAATAGAATTTACCAATTTGAAGCATTGTAGATCATTATGTCTTGCCATTATTACTGCTCTTGAAAAGCGTTTTTTTTATTTATTTGATTTAAGCTGTCCAGAGAGCAAAGACTTTATCATTGCTTCTATGAGTCATCCTAAATTTAAGTTAAGTTGGGTACCACTTCGATATAAGAATTCATGTAAAGACCTATTTCTTGCTGAATGTTGCAAAGCAGCGATTTCAGTAACAAATTCAATAGATTCTACTACTGATGGTGAGGAAGAACACTCTGATAACAGTGATGATTTTTTTAAAAATGTATGTACACCAAATAATTTAAATAGCTCATCTGACCCAGAATCAAGAAATTTAAATAACGCAAATGTCCAAGCATTATCTTTTTTTAATAATAAAAAAAAAGAACTCAATATATTAAATAAATTTTCTACTATCAAAGAAGTTTTCTTACAATATAATACAACCATACCATCTTCAGCAGCAGTTGAAAGATTGTTTAGCGGAGCAATACAAGTTTTAACACCAAGACGTAATCGCCTTGGTGATAAAACTTTTGAAAAGTTATTGTGCTGCAGAGCAAAATATATTTAATAAAAAATAAATATATTTTATTATATTGTACTATAAATAACTATACATTATACTATACTATTATATAGTATAATAAAATAAAACATAAAGATTTATTTTTATTAAATATATTTGGCTGTATATATATATATATAACATTTATTTATAAAAATCTATTAAATTTGTTACAGCAAACATTGCATTGTAAATTATAAGATATTATTAAGTATTGCTATTATCATTAAAAATAAGATAATAATGTTTAATTTACCATATTTTGATTAAATCTATTCCAGATTAAACAAAAGCCTTGATTTGAATTTGTAAATTTCCTACTAGGTGTACACTGTTTATATTATGATGGCTAAGAATGTGCTTAATTTTATATGTTTTGATTTAAAACTACCATATGATTTTGTTATAGTTTTTAAATTTTACGTGGTATGTATGTAGTTTGTAATATATGTTTGTATTTTGAAAAATAATGTATTTACAATTTTTTCTATATTTTAATGTACCTTCACAATTTTGGCGAATATTTCTTCGTTTAAAAATCATTATCAAGGTACTTAAAAATGAAATATGGCACTTCCAAAAATATTTTTTTATACACCGGTATTTAATGAATTTGGTCAATTACTTAAGTTTTTCTATTCTAATTTTAATGATGTTTTGTCTCATTATATATAGAAGACCACTATTATTTTAATTAGTATTTAAAATATTTTTTAATGATAATCAATAGACAATAATCATATAACCGGAAGACTAACCCACACAGCAGTTTAGAAATATAAATATTTTTAAATATTCTGTTGTGGTTTGACCGGTAAACTATGGAAAAATATGTTAAGTGTAATATTTATTTGCGGTTTTAAAAGTAATTCATTTGTAGCAGTTATCAAATTTTAATATTTAATTTTCTGCTAAGTATATATCACAAAAGTATACAAGTATTTATATAAAATGTTCACTCATACATTTTCGTATAACATTTTATGAAGTTTAAAATTTAATTTATCTATTTTTCATCTAGATAAAATTGTATTTATCTTTATCTTTTAGCTAGATAAATGTTAAATGAATAATTTAATATCTTATCTAGTTGATATATTACTCAATTATCCGTTATCTTATCTAGATAACTTTATAGTTATCTTTTCCCAACACTGGTGTTAACACGTATTATTTTCACTTAGTTATCTTTCTTTCTCTTATTTAAAAAAAATGAGTGAGTTAAATTTTTTTTAAAATTTACAAATGTTTGAATTTGAAACCAAAACTCAAATTAACGTAAATGTTTTAAATATGTGTCAAACTTGGACACTAATACCTAAGGAAGGCGATTACCAATGTCCAAGGAATCATATTATGAAAATTTGTGAACGTAACAATAATATTGATGGCTTTATTTGGAGGTAAATTTTTTTATAACAAACTTAATTTACCGGACACTTTTTTGTTTAGAAATTAATTTAAATATATAAATTTAATGTAGATGTCGTGAAACAATTTGCGAAAGGAAACAAAAAAAGAACACACGCGACTTTGAGGTTTCCTTGAGGAAGGACAAATTTTTTAAAAAATCCCATTTGCCCATGATAAAAATTATTAGTTTTTCTTATTTGTGGCTAAAAAGCGTAACCCAAGAGTTTATTATGGACGAAATAAATATAACTCGTGACATCGCGGTTGATTGGTCGAGTTTTTGTCGGGAAGTCGTCCATAATGGAATGGTTGTTCACAAAATTAAAATTGGTGGACAAGGCATAACCGTCGAAATAGACGAGAGCAAATTTGGGAAGCGGAAATATCATCGTGGGCATGCTGTAGAAGGACAGTGGGTGTTCGGAGGTGTGGAGAGAGAGACAGGTCGGTGTTTTTTAGTCCCCATGGAAAGACGCGACAAAGATACCCTTTTAAAAATCATAAAGTATTGGACATTACCAGGCACTACAATAGTATCCGATTTTTGTTAAAGTGAAAGTTAAATTGTGAAAGTTTCAACTGGAATTAAAACTAACGGTTAACTTTATATACAACAGGCATACGATTGTCTTGAGAACGAAGGCTATGTCCATTTTAAGGTAAACCATTCGATAAATTTTAAAGACCCTGAAACAGGCCAACACACCAACACAATTGAAGGGCTGTGGCGGCATGTTAAACACTCAATGCCGCAATATCATCGAAAAAAAACATTTTTTTATGGTTACTTTTTAAAATTTATGTTTTTAAAATATATTAAATCGAATAAGCTCGACCCCATGGTCGAGTTTTTTAAACTAGCGGGTTTATTATACAACCCGTGTAATGTAATTGGGCCTGTCGAAGATAACGACGACTCCGATTATGAAATAACTTTAGATTAAAATTAGAATTTAATAATATTATATGTATATATATACTTTTATATAATTATTTATATAAATACATTATTTAACTATATGTTTTATAATTTTATGTTGCCTTGATAACCATTCCACTTGTCGTGAAACTCCCGTTTTCGTGGGCTAATGTAATTGAATTTCTTTAATTGAGTTTTAACTTAAAAAACTTACATCTATATAAAGCGACTCCCTACGCCTACCGGCTCCGGGAGCCGACTCGAGCCCCTACGGGACTCTTCGATGGATGGGGGCTCACGCTCCCAAACCCCCAGAGGAAAAAATAGCTCACCTAAAGGGTTTAAAAAACCTAACCTGATACTTTTCTGAAGGCGGCCAGCGGCCAAACGAGTCTGAACCTAGCCAGGTTTAAGTTAGTTTTGTTTTAAAGTTAAAAGTCTTGATAAGAAACTGGTCATTGGGAAAAAGTGTACGCGATCCTCCTGCATGACGGCAGCGACCGTGCGGGCGCCACGGACGGTGCGGACAGCGCGGGCGCTGCGGGGCGTCCCGCGCAGTGATAATTTTCTAAGTTCAAGTAGCTGTAACTTCAAAACTAAGCGTTTCCGCAAATTTTTTTTCGTGCCATCGTTTTCAGCATCAAAAAACAAATCGAATGAAAAAATAAAATCGAAATTCGGGTCTGGGATGGTAAAGTCGATTTAAGCAAAAAAAATATCTAAACATCAACTTTTGATAAAAAAAAAAATTGACGACCTGAAAAAATGTTAATTTAATCTTGGGCAATACTTGAATTCGTAGTTAAAATTAAATTTAATCTTGATTGAATTTAAATGAATCAATAACGGAATAAAAGTTTACTTCTTATTCAAATAAATATTTAATCGAATATTGCTTATATCTTGATTCGTTGAACGATATAATTACAACAATTTTCAGTCGGAACTTGAGTTAATTTTCGATGAATATGCAGAAAAAAGAAATCCTGGTAAAACATATGTGACTGAGTCAAATTTTCTCGATTTAGTGGGTAACAGTTACACAAATCTTCTTGCTATAAGGAAATACAGAGTTGAAAAGAAAGTAACACCGGAATTAGCAGGTAAGTATTTACGATTATGTTTCATTTATCATTTAATAATTTTTTTTTTAGCTCGATGCGAAGCTGTTAATCAACTTTTTTATGGCACCAAAAAAAAATTGTATAATTTTAAAAATTTGTATAAAATTTTCAGTTTAGTATTGTAACTTAAAAACATACACAAATAAATTGTCCGTTATCAAACGGTATATTGGTGTTAGTTTTTATGTTTAAAATACTTATGGTAGCTAAAAAATCATAAAGAAAATCTTTATTATGTTTATTTATATATATAGTAAATTATAAGTATAAAGGTAAATTTGTTACATAACCCAAACTATATTCTGGAAATGTGTAGTGAGGTAGCACAAAAAAGATTTTTTTTCGCTCACCACTAAAAATTAATCATTATAGTAAATAAATAAGTTTATCGAAATTTGGGGTCATTCGGTAAAGTTTTACAGGTCGCTCAACGCGATTTAATATAATTTTTAGTAATTTTTATTAATTTGCAGAATTTGTTGTCTAAAACTAAATCTATTCAATATCTCTAAATCTGTCGCTTTTGTTCGAATCCTAAGAAGTTACTCTATCGTTTGATATAATAATCTATAGAATCTAAGCTCGTTTAATATGGTTTCATAGAAATTTTAATTATTAAATGTACGTTTTTTTTATTAGTTCTAAAGTCAAACCCATTTTTTAAAAATTATATTCAATTTATAGTATTTTATAAATTAAAACTGTTTTGCATACTCATCATTTTACTATAACATTAAAGTAGCAAAATACTAAAAAAAATTGTTTATTGTACAGTGTGATTCATTTTGGGTAAGACACTCATTTTCTCGGAATACATTAATATTTTGAACAACATTTTTTCCAATATTTTTAGGTACACATTGTACTATATTTTACAATATATTGAAAATTTTTATCTTTTAGAAGTTGAACCGGGCAACATTTTAACATCCCGATGAACTATTAACGGAATATTAGACCTGAAAGAAGATTTTGTATATATTTTGATATTTGTTCTCTATTAATTATTCTAGCTCGACGAATCGTATCTTTACTAACAGACACAGTAGCAATATCTAACCCTGCTGAGGCTACAGCTGCGGCTACTACGTAGGTTGTGTTTCTTTTCGAAAAATTAGTTCTATCAAGAGCGGAAGTTAGCGTTTGACTCATATTTTTTAAATTTGATTTACGTTCAATATCACCTATTATATTCAGATTCATCAGGATTTAAGTCTGTATCATCAGAGCTTGACGATAAAATATCATCTACAAAAACGGGTGTCATTTTTTATTATATGTTATATGAGTATTATTATAGTATAAGATATGTCTATCTTTGAACGGGCCGGGGGCGGACAATAATAGGCCACTTACCCGGTTACCAATTGCTTTACACTTACCGATCAGTGCTGTGTGGGTAGTGGGGTAAATAGTCTCACTGGAAGTGTGAGGGATCGCCTACGCAAGACCAGTGAGCTATGTGGTGCAAAAGTGTGTTTAGTGTGTATAGTGTGGATGTGTAGGAAACTTAAAACTATAACTAAAAACTAAATAAATAAAACTCAAACTCGATGATAATAATAATAATAATAATATTCAATAAAATGCTATAATAAGTGGTAATAAATAAATAATTAGCCCTTTTGGCTCAAGATACAATTGTGAATAAAATTCACAAACACAAATAAAACAAACTCAATAAAATATGGTATAAATAAAAAGTACTCACAAACCGAAGAACTGCAAACCGCTGGCCAGGGCTGCTACCTAAACCTAAATAATACTAGACACAAAGTAAAGTGAACAACAAAAAAAAAAATATTAAAATAGTTTTTTGTCCTTATGACAACTCAATAATACCCTTATGGCTTAAAAATACAATAATAAACAATCTTTTGTCCTTAAGACAATAATAATAAAAAATCACAGTGCCCTTATGGCTTAAAAATACTATAATAACACTTAAAACTAAAAAACACTGAAGAAAAACACACAAAAAAGTCTAGATTAATATTATATACTTCAAATTCACAAGAATGCAACAAGTGCACTACTAACACTGATAATACGGGCGTGGCACATTTGTTTACATAGTATAACCCGGTGCGTATATGTGTGTGTGTGTGTGTGTGAACAGCTGACCGGTAGTATTGCCAGTATAGATCGTGCGGAGTAGGGCGGAGTGGTGTGGACGGCCGCGACAACCAAGATAAGAGGGCATCTGTATCATTGGCGATAACCGGCATAGAATTGCGCTCCATTACCTGTTATAGCCTCAACAATCTTTATGTCATATTTAAATTCCTGGATTGGTATTTTTCGTCATTTGACTTTTCACTTCTCACTTTTGGCCTTTACTGTATAACGAGCCCGCAGGTATAGCTCGACAGAGTTCACGTTAGGCGCCAGAAATTGCGAATTTATGTTTTTTTTTTATATAACTTGGTCGGTTTTTGGATACCTATTCCTAGACTACTGGGGCGTGGGCAACTGCTCAATACCATTGATATTTAACAATTTTTTGAAAAATGTTTTTTTTTTGTTTTAGATAATATAAGAGCACCTCTATTTGTAGAATATATGAATGTAGTACACAAATTACAAAATCCAGCTAATGAGGAAGACAAGGATATAAATATCTTCGCCAAAAAATGTCTTGAAAAATTTAAGGATGGATAAAGAAGGAAGGCACAACAAGGGATTAGGAACAATTATTAAATATGGATTCCGATTATTTTATAAATCTTGTCAAGTCATATGCACAAAATATTACATTTGCACAATTATATACATTGTACTTTCACGTTTATATTAAATAAATAAATCTCCTACACACTGGGCTAGGGTTAAAAGAAATTAACTTATAATCCAAAAGAATCCACATGACTCCCCTCCCTTCAAAATAAAGTAATTGTTTGAGCGTCAAAAAATGTATACAGAAACCATAAGTGACCACATTTCCTAATTCTTTTAATCTCATCTCAGTGTACATACATTATTTTAACTCAAATTAAAAGTTGTTGATTATTATTTTTTCGCATAAAGAACATTTCTCTATGCATACCTATGGTTGTATAATATCAGTCTGGCAATCGCATTTAATCAAGTGTACAATGTGAAAGGCTAAGAAAGCTTTGTAAGCCGTTTAAAGGCCACTAGCAACAAGCAAGTCGATCAAAGACTATGCTGTAATACTAAAAAGTTCTACAAGCTCTAAATATTGGTTCAGAAGTTTCAAATGTAGCGAACAACCTCATTTGTTTATTTTATTTATTTATTTATTTATTAACGCCCAAAGGGCAAAGAATGTACAAAAATTTACATCTAATACAATTTTAACATAGAATACATGATATAGTAAAACGAGTAAAACAGAATACAAATTATTATAATAAACAAATTAATATATATCGTAGGATAAACAATATTATATTAATAAGGAGACAATTATTGAAAGTACATATTTAAATCTAAAATTTTCTAATTGAAACCCAAACATAGTCGCCGAATTAGTTTAGCTTCATTATCGAAATTAAAATCAAAATTTTTAAGAGTATTACAGAATTGAAGCATGCGACTCTTAGGTTCGTTGAAACTGTATGATTGTAAGTGGAATACCTCGAAAAAGATTGTCCTTTATTTGGTGTAAAAAGTTGGAACTAACCAACCAATTAATTTTATGATTTCGGGACAAATAATACGACCATTTAAAATTTTATAAATAAATAACGCATCATTAAGCTTACGTCTGGATGAAAGTGAGTTCATTCCTAACTTCAAAGCAACCTTCTTTATAGGGCAATTCATCGTAAACTTACAAGATAAATCTCTTAAGAAATAAAATTGTACATTATTAGGACGGCTTATAAGACCAAGTTGAGAAAATCCGAGCGTTGACGTCTCTGCCATCAATTGATGA